CCAACGCGCGCAACTTAAAATGCTAGGACAATGGAAAAAAGTATTTCTCCACACTGGATCTATTCAGTGATCTATTTCTCTTGGTTCGAATTCAATATGACATGTAACATTCACTGCTACGTTGGTAATTCTTTATAGATGGTGTTAGAAGGTAATAATCCTTTCTTGTGTGGTGTGAATTTTTTAAGCTTTGGAGAATGAGCTATTTACTTAATTGTTTTGAGACACACATAGCTTAAATTTTTATCAAACACGTTGTTTAATGCAAGTCTGTTCATTGAATTCTGAGTACCCAGATCCAAAATGTAACTCTACCATCAGTTCTAACTTCTAATATAACCCGAGCCAAATTCTTATTTTGATTTTATTTTTGAGCAGAACTAAATAGCTTAGGCCCAGGTTTAGCTTTTATAACTCATAAAACTTTATGATCCTTTAAAATCTGTCCACAAGTATTTCATTTTCTGACTTCCTGTGAGTATGAACTTCCCATATATTCTGAAAAGAAGTTTTTTTTTATCTGTCCCAGTCTAGTCTGCATGCACAGCCTGTGTCACACAGACCACGTGCTAAAAATATGCCATGAAAGCAAGATTAAATGTTTTGCTTTATATATTTTGCTCCAATACTGCCCAGTTCTCATCTACAGCTCATTTCACCATTCTCTCATCAGACTCATGTAGACATTTGGCCACTGACAAACCACAGTAGCAGGAGCCTTATCTGAAGGTGGCAGCAAGAGCACCTTTTTAACTGGCAGAGATGCCACCAGGATAAAGGTAAAATTTGGAAACTACTTTTGGTTTTACTGGAGCCTTCTAATACAGCCATATTTTAAATTATATGTATGAATTAGAATTAATGTAAAGTTGATATCTGGCTCCTAAATACTGAAACATAGGGTTTATTAGCTCAAGCATAGGACTATACTAATGAAATATTTAATGCCTCCAGGACTTTGGTAAGTATTTCTAGACAAACCTTCAATGCCTTTTATAGATGTACAAGTCTGGGTCAATACTACTTCATGGCTGCCTGTGACAGGCATGATTGGATTGAATAGGTATGGTCTAAGACTGTCTTTTCTGTTCTGTTCTTGTACTGTTTGGTACAAAGAAAGCCTTGTTCCTGAGTAGGCTTTCTAAGCCCCGTAGAAATAAAAATAATGAATATCACCCTCAGATTTCTTTATAATTCCCATGCCAAAAGAAGTAATACTAGATTTCTGTCCCTAGGTTTTCAGTTCTTATGCCGTACAAACCTATATAGACTAAAATTAAAGCTGCTGGAAGTTTTCTTTCACATTTTTTAATATTGAAATATTTCCATTTTATGAAAATGGAAATAGCACTCTGAGTTCTTTAACGATCACGTTTGTAATAAGAAAAACTTAAATTAAAAATGTGATGGATTTTTGATTTTTTTGTTAATATTCCCTTTCCTTAATGGCAGGTATGCCAGGCTCCAGACAAACCATACGCTTCAGCGAGGGGACTGACTTGGGGCAACCCGTTTGCTAGGGCTATGCTGAAGCCATCCTCCTGTGAGGCTTTTAGATGAATTATGACTGATGGTCCAGCAGAAGTTTTAAAGGAGATGACAAAAAAGAAACAGGTGCAGCCCAGAGGGATGACATGCTCCTGAGGCAGCCTGGAAGCAGGAGCCAGCACAGACAAGGCAGTGAGGCAGGTTGAAGACACGAAGCGGGCAAAAGGGGCTGTGGGTAGCCCAGAGTGGGATGTCAGGAGACACCTTTATGATGAGAGGTTTTAAGGTATTATGGTCGGGAGAGCACGAAAATGTGTGGAGGTGGCTGTGGTGTACGGAATCGAGCTAGTGCAGCAGCCTGCCACAGCCTGGAGGTGGCACCGAGGCAAGGCTTGGAGAAAGCACTGAAGGCTGCAGAGAGGCCAAAATATGGCTCTGAGGTGGTTTGTGGGCCCCAGTCAAAGCCGAGATGTCACGAAGGAGGTTTGCATCCCAGGCAGGCAGAGCCTCCCACCTGGCAGACAGCGGGCAGAGCTCCAGGCCCCGCATACTCTAGAGACTGAGGAGAGACCTGCCCTGTTTTTGATTCTGCTAAACACCCAACAAATGGTACATCAGGGAGTTAACATGGGAGAAGGGATGTGTTTAGTAGTCACATGTAGTGTCCTGTTAGCTGTTCAGAGCAGCCAGAGGGGACGTGGAGCAGTTATGCAGTCTGAGGATGGGGTCTTGCCTCACAGACATTGTTCATTTACTACTTGTTGGCTTTGTCAGCATGTTCTGTGTTCCCACCTGTACCTTGTAATTCTTTCCAGTAAAAAAATGATTCAGTGCTGCCTATAAGGAGCTACAGCAAGGTACTGATATTTCTTGGAGCTCACGGTGTGTGACTATGTGGACCTACATGATGGATGACCATGCACCTAAGTGCATGACCTATGTGGAAATGGCCAGGCTCTGAGGAGGCTGGAAAGAAGAATCAGCTGTGGTCTGGGAGCAGTGTTAACTGTGCAAGGGCACAGTTGTGTCTGAAATGATGAGTCTCCTTGAGAGGCAGTCTGAAACCTTTTATTCTGAATATCAGGAATTGTTAACTCTAGATTACTATTTCTATATTGTCAGGATCTTTACAGCATAAAGGCATCTGAGCAGATACCAGCCAAACACCTCCGGATTCCCTCTTCACCTGTAGAAAAGAATAGTGAAAATGGAGATCTTTTTATTTTCAGTGATCGCTGGTGCTGTGTTGGTAAGTTGCAGCAGATGTTCTTCTGTGTTGGGACATGGCATGGAGGAGTGGATGAGATCAGAGGACATTGTTTCTGCTGTGTACATACACAAGGTGGGAAACTAGTTAAAAATAGCCCCAGCTGTATCTCCTGACCAGCTTCCACCAGCTTACCATGTTTATCTATAGACTGAAGTGCTATAGGTTAGCCTTAAAACTGGCTGTGGAGTCAGCAGGTGATTCTGATGTTACAGGACTGTTACACACATAGCCAATGGGCCTGAGAAGGAGGGCGTGCATCAGCCTTGTGTCTATGTTAAACAAATAAGTTTTAATTTTAACTGTGCATCTGCTGAACAGTGCACAACCCCCAACCTGCTCCTCAGTAGCAGCAAGCTGCTGGTCAACATTCATAATCCAGTGATGATGGGGGGGTTTTCTCAGTGTCCAGTGGGGCACAGCTTGAAGCAGGGGACAAGGTTCTTACCTGCTCTTTGCAACCTGTGTACTCTCTAGCACTGGTTTGGCCGCCTGGCTGATTTGTTGCATCCCAAAGCAATTGAAACATGAGGGAGCTCAAACAGTTATTTAAAATTGGATGTGCAAAACTACATAAATCAAGCTGCTAAATGTAAAACCAAACATCAATTTGACATGCACTTCAGCCATGCTGAAGGTAGTAGCAGCTGTAGTCACCACTGGGTTCTCATTTCTTCTTGACCCTGTTCATCACCCTGTGGAAAGATTCATATTTCATTTTACTGCCATACAAACCAAAATGTTAAGCCGATGGGAATGTGATCATTAAAGCTCGTTGGAAGCTCAATGGATTTTATAAATTGAAATACAATAACAATTTGTAGTCCTGTTTTGGGACGGGATCTGTAGAGCTCCTCTGGAATTCTGATAGCACAGCTATGATCTGAGATTTTGAGCCAAAACTGGCTTTGAGTCCTTTTTTTCCCCCCTGCTCCAAATAAGCTTGGGAAATAAAAATAAATGTTTGACTTCAGAATGTGGAAAAAAAATTATTCTTGAGAATTTCTCTCTGTGAGGGTATGGGAACTGGTCTTTCCCCTTCCCTATTTTTTCCTGTAATTATGGACAAAGTTCTGTATTCAGTGAAGTCAGAATATAAGTAGGACTTTGTGTTTAGATGACTGAAGGGCACGCAGCTACAATTACCTTGACATAGAGGTCAATGTGATCTAATGTTTCTAATGTGATCTAATGTTTCTAATGTGATCACATGAAGTGCTTGTTTGGTAGTTTCTGTCGCTTGATTAAGAGAAGTTGTCAAGAGCAAAATGTCAGGAGCTTAAGTGACATGAACAAAACAGGGAGAGAACATAGGGGGTTCTGACAGGAGGAAGACACAACTATGACTGTAAGATGACAGAAACCAGTGGGGAGTGGTAAAATGATAACTTCCATTGGAAGTTTAAGAGGTTAATGACCTGCAGCTATGGATGGATGGAATTTGCATGGATCCAGATCTCAGATGTGATCCTATTGCAGACAAGTTCTAAAGAAAAAACCCTATAAATCAGTTAAAGGATTCTGGTGAATCGTGCTTTGTGCTCATGGTTTGTGATGTAACCAGCAGTTCTTGATGGAATTACAACTGCCCTGCTCACACTCACCTGCTGTTTGCTCTGTATTAAGTTAACAATAGTAAATAAACCGCGTATTAGATTTCAAGGTGATCTGTTCATGCCAAATGAATTCGTCTTGCCCTAATGCTGTCCTAATTTAAAACATATGTATTGATTTAAATCCTGTTGCTTCCATACATTAAAGTACTGTTTAGATTTTTGCCTCATCAATATTCTTCACCATTTTGAATGGATGTGTAGCTTGTTGTGGGTTTGGTTCAAAAGTGTTCTCTGATAGATTTTGTGTGTGTGTGTGTATGTGAAGGAGTAGATGTGAGTTGGACCATGGTGGCGTTGTACATCACGTAAATCTGTCACCTGCAACCAACAGTAGACACTTTATCTGTTCTTTTACAGGCAAAACCTTCATTAGCATCAAAGGAAGTTTACTTTAATTGTGGGAAAGATGGGTCCTTGTCTAGTGAAAATACAACTGGTCAGGAGAAATATTGTATGATAGTATATTTCTCATACAGCAGCATAAGCTTCATAGAAAAGTGATGAAAGTTTTCTGATTTTCCCTGACTTCTAAGGGGTGAAAGAATTTTGTATATAAAATGGAGTTTCTCCTAAGAAGAAATTAAAAAAAACCCAGAACCTTGTGTCAGACTCCAAACAATGTCTTTAGACCTTCAAATAAGTAGCCTGGGCTTTTCAAAAGTGCTGAGCTTTGCCAACCCCCACTGCTCTTAGGATACAGCTTCTAAGGCTGAACATCATTTGACTGCATGTTCTTGCAAAGAAATACTAAGAATATGCAGTAGGTCAAAGTGGTTCCTTATCTTTGTGCAGAGATAAGGGCTGCTGTTCCTCCTAGGAAACAGTGTCTTAGAAGCGGAAGGCTGCACTTCTTATCATTCAAGTATGTGCCATAAAGGGGTAAAAATAGGGATGTTGAGGATAAGAAAGCTGAAACTAAGGCACCTGCTACCCAGAGAAGGAAACTTGGGAACGAAGTAAGACTGAGAGTCTCTACTGTTTTGAATACTGCAAATCTTCACTTGCAGGAGCAAACAATTTGCCTGTAAAAGCCTCTGAGATTATTGATATGAGAAAAGGCTTCCTGGATTTAGACTCCTGACTTTATCATGCAGACTACATTCCATTTACAGAGTTTTACAGAAGTTGAAAATGTCAGAGTTGGCTGAGAGAATTAGATTTCAATAGCTGTTAAACATTTGCTGGACATCCTAAATCTCCACTGAAAATCCTTTTGTTTGTGACCTAAACAGAATTGATTAAACGGAAAGGTTGAAATAAGGTATTCAAATTCTATCACATTGGCAGATAATGCATAGTTCATTCAGTCTCACAATATTTTAATCCAGTATTCACTTTGCCATGATATATAATGCTGGCTATTTACAATAATTGCCATTCTCTAAATGACAATTTTCCTTTAAAACAAGCAGCAAACCCAACAAGCAGCCCCATACCCTGCTCCAAACCTTGTTTGCAAGGATTTTCATTTGCATCGCTGCTGTACAGATTTACACAGAGCAGAAAAAGGGGGTATTCTTATTCTTAGAGATTCTGCCTTGTATGCTACCTGCAGCCACATTCTGCCACTTTCATCCCTTCATAGTTATATATCAAAGTAGGCACACCAGCATCATCCTTATAAAGAATGGAGATTGAATCCAGTTTGGTTGGAACACAACAGGCCTTGGAGGCTTTCTTTGGGTTTTGGAGATGCACCAGAGTTTGGACAATAGCATGTTTTGTTGGGGTAACGTTATCTGTCAGAGGGAAGAAGCAACCTCCTTTACACTCAAAAGCCTCATAATCTTTTGGTGCGATGATCCAGGAATCCCAGCCAATCTCTTCAAAGTTCACATGGAGGGAAGTTCTCCGGCAGTGGTTGGCCCCAACGCTTCTCTTGCTTCTGGAGGAATGCTGGTGCGGCCCAGTGATAGCCTTTTCCTCTCCCTGTTCATCCTCTTCAGATGAAGTGTTGTTCTTGCCTAGCTTCTTTAGCACACTTTCTTGTTCATGAACAATCATCTCCCGGAGCTCTACTTTGGTCTCTTTTGTCCCATTGCTGCGGTCATTGGAGAACACCATTAACAGGGGCAGATTTTTAGCATCCGGGGCAACACTGATATCCAGCTTCTCACAAGTGAAACCACTCAGAACTTTACTCTCTATAACAACCTCTAGCTTGTTTTTAGTCTTCAGTTTGTCTGCTCTGACCCATCTTTTCACAGCGCTGGACACTTCAAACATCTCCCAACCACACTTCTGGATACTGTGGGAGACAAGGAAAGATTTGGTACTTTCTGGGTTTTCCCAGTGTCCATCATCTAGAACATCATAAATGACCATGGTGCCTTCCAGCCTAGAGAGAGACTCAGCTTCTCTGTGACAGGAGACATAAATTCTCAGTTCAGCTCTGGTGATTTCCTCATATTGTGGAATAGAGATGTTGAAGAACAAAATGTGTTTCTGAAATGGATTTTCTTCTGGTGAATCTAAAGAAACAACATCTGCAATAGGAAATTAAAGCATGTGGTTACAGTGCTTCTGACTGTCCAAGTAACTTGTTTTTAAAAGACTCAGCATGTATTTTGGGGGTAAAATAAGAGCATGGTGACACAGCATTAAAAAAAAATACTATCTTCTGGCCAAGTTTCAAGGGCAGAGTGTGAAAAGGGAAATGGAGGTCCCTGATGTTGGTACTATTTCACCAAGATTGCATAGCCAGGTGAGTGTGTGGAGCATAAAGAGGCAGCCTAGAACAAACTGTGGATGATGCTGGTCAGTATTAACTACATAAATAAGGCATGTGCACGGTTTTCAGATTTAGCAATTTGCTAAAGATATTCTTACACAAAGAATTCCTCAAAACCCCTATGAATTTCCTACTCTCATAATCATGCAGCCGGATGAACTGCTCTCATATTCATATTTAAGTGTCTTTAAGAACTACCTGTGCTGAGGCTTTTGTTGCTGTCTACAGATAACTTTGAAAGCAGCTTGGATTACTGGGCATTTGTGGTAATAGAAAAGCTTTTGGAAATCCTAAATTGAAGCTTCACGGTCGATCTAAATTGGGACTCGGTGATAAACAGCCTTTCATGCCCAGGTCCCAGTCTGTTCCAGACTGAACTTGTATAGGTTTGTTCATATGTTTGTTGTCTGCAAATCCATGCACAGTACCAGCAAGTCTGCCTGGGGAGGGGTAGATATTTGTCAAGAAGATCAGACTGGCAATGTTTAGAAGTCATCACTGATGTCTATTTAATGCTCAATGTAAACTAGCTGCTTAATCATGACTGGGTGTTAGAGCAATTTTATTTGGCTATTGCTGCCGCTTCTTCAGAGCATTTACCCACAAAAGCAGGCAGAGAGGAGAGTGAGATATGGAAACTATAATCTAGGTCATTCTGTTAAGGTTCCTTTACATTTCAGGACTAGGGCCACTAATTTGGGAATTTGAAGTTCTCTGTAGAGCTGTTACCTGTGTATGTCTATTTTTCATATAAACAGAAACTTCAGTTCTCCTTGTTTCATTTTTATCTCAAGGACTGCATTTGCTTACAACTTTTTTACTGCTTCTTTTGATGGAGCTTTTAAAAGTCTATTTAATGTTACACAGACAGGAATCTTGAACATTTTAAGCTGAGACAAGCATGACTACCCATTTTCATGTAAATCTTTCTGTCTAATCCAGAATTTTGGAGGAGCACTGCTGTTCCTTTCTTGGATCCACAGACACGTTTCTCAATTGGTTGCTGTATTTTTTAAATATGCACAGAGCCCACCTGAAAGAAGAGCTCTCTAGCATTGATGTCTCAGTCATAGGTGATCAAAAGTTTGCATTCTAACATAGAAACTCAGTTCCAAATATCTAGGGTTGAGAAACATGATTCATGTAAACTGTTATACAGTCCATCATCTCAGTTGAAGTGTTTGAGAAGACAATATTGTACAGTGAAAATATCAAAGAAGAAAACTAAAGGTAATTGTATTTTTTAAAGATTGAAAGAAACTACAGAGCAAGCATACAATCCAAAATTTTAATGTTTCATTTCTAAAGAATCTGTGGAAGTCAGGCACTCAGTTTCTTCTGAATTCCAAAAGAGTCTGAGTATCTGCTGTCCATGAACTTTAAAAATTCTAGTCCACATATTTAGGACTTCTCCTACCTTCAGTACTGAAGCTCCTTACAATATTGGATGCAGGGATGGAGGACTTGTCTGCAGCATATCTGTTGTATAAATCAATCATGAACTGTGGTGGTTCTTCTTTAGTCTTCACTTGTGAGGGGATTCTTGACAAATTCAAACTCCTTTGTAAATCCGTCTTCATATTCTCCAGGAAAGATTTAAAGTCAAAATGGGACTCATCTTCTACTTCCCCAGGATCATGAAAGTGTGCATCAGACTTTCCCATAGCTGATAACTTGTCCCAGTCTTCTAAAGGCTTGCCTCTTGTCAAACAAGCAATGATGTTGAAAACAGACAGTGCAGCTAATACTCCAAAACAATGCATTTCTTCTATAGTTACTTTCTGGTGGAGAGACAAGAGGACAAGGGTATTATAGCTGATTAACAGTCTTGTTTCATTACAGACAGAGGAAAGAAGATGTAAGGCTAACAACTGGAATGCCCTTTGCAAATCACTTTCTTGTGCTCTTTTTGCAGTCTGCTTCAAACCCCAGCCTCTTGTCAGTTGTCAAGCAGATTGGTCGTACACTTGCCCTTATCAGAGTCATTGATGCCATGCTTCAGCTTCTGTTATCTAGCAAGGCTCTTAGTTAATGAAGATTCTGTAAACATCTGACAAACACATGTGGCTGGTGGGAAGGACATTGTATATTGTAAAGAATCCACATTTCACTTTAGGGTCATCTTTGCTTAATTACATTCTTCTATCATTTCCTTGCCAACACAGAGAGAAGCTTTCTTAGGGACGTAGAAGATTACACTGTTTTTATCAAGACTAGAAAATAGAGATCTAGAACAAAATCACTCTATTAGCTATTAGCAAATAATATCTGAAAAATCTTTTTTACAGACCCTTCATATGCAATCAGAAAATCCCCAGTCATTTGATGGAGACCTGTGATTCTGCAATACATGATCTCATGACAATACAAACAACCTTAAAACTTGTTTCCGTTTATCAGCCAAGAGCTATTGTTTGTACACAGTGAAATATCTGTTTTGTGTCAAATTTGCTTCATGTTGTTTGCAGGCTTGTCCATTTTCAGTTTGATTCCTTTGGTGTATGGGAATTTAGCCTTGTTTTTATAGTATCTTATGTAATATATTTCATAGATTCATCATCTCAATCCAGTCCAAGAACAACCCGTCATTTTTTCCCTGACCTCAAAATGAAGACAGAACTAGGCCTTCTGAGGCCACACGGAAAGTAAGAAGTCTTTCTGAAGATACAGAGATTATCTATGAAGATACTGTACCCATGAGAAGAAGGGGCCAAGGCAAATTAATTTCTCACGATACAGAAGAAAAAAACAGGTTTATTTAGAGACAAAAATATCACTATTTATCTTAATGAATGTGTTATGAGTTAATCTAATGATACATAATTGCTTTATCTGTACTATTAATGCATCATTTTTTCTAAGCACAAGTCAATTCACACTGTACATGTGCCATAAAGTCTGAATAGTATTATGAGCTGTTTACATTAAAAAATCTCATTGCAAAGATGCAGTCAATATTTTGCTCTTTCTGGCCATTCTTCTCTAGTTTTCCAGCAGTGCATACACAGCATTTAAATTGATCCCAAACTTCTGAAATGCTCACTTATGTGTCTGTTCGAGTGATAACTGGATCCAAGATCCTGGTTAATTATGTTCATATGACATAAAGTCAAAATAGATTATTTGGCATTGACCTTGGTGTCCTGCATAGCAAGATTGTTATGTTTTACTCAAGGCCTTTGTGTTTCCAGTGCATTCATAGTCCAATTACCTGTGTTTGGCTAAACACAAGGTTTTAAGTGCCTCCGGACTTTACCTGAACATGTCAAAGAATCAAAGATTTCTTCAATTTCGTAGCACTTACTCCAAAAAATAATCACCTACAGTTAAAAAACCCACGGTGCTTCATTTATTATTTCACTGTGCCTGACTTTACCTTCTAGACGGGAATTTTTGTAACATTCTGGCTAGTTTAAGGAGTTTCATAGTGCTGACATTTTCTCCCTGTTGAAGTGCTTGCACAGTGTAATCAAGTTACTTCTCAGTTGGCTTTCTGATAAAATAAACAGATTGTTCATTTCAGTCACATAGGACATTTTCTCTAACTGTTTTCTTTTTTGTGTCTCTTTCAGAATTTTAATGTCTTTTTGAAAAGGTGAACCCCAGGGCTATACGTGGTTTTCTGGTGTCAGTCCATCAGTGTCACATGCAGAAATCAAATCTTTCCTTATGTGTTTCACTATTCCAGTGTGTATCTTTTCAGAGCTTTCATTAGCTCTCATTACATAGCATCACCTTGAATGCTCATACTGCACCATAAATCCATGATATCCACAAAATTTTTTTAAGAGTTACGGCTTTCAAGGGTGCAGCCTTTTACTCAGTAGGAGCAGCCTCCATGCCTTGTGCAGAGGTACCTGAATTTCTGCATCTGTCTGCTCTAAAATGAACTTTAATTACATAAGTGCAGCTAGATCAAGCCATCTCACCTCTCTCCTTCTGAAAATGCTGTGGGTGTTGCTATGTACAGACTTCTAGTTCATACATAAAGATGTTACATAATGTCAGGCCAAGTGTCAGCTTTGCAGAAACTTTAAAATGAATAGTTTAATTCAGTGGCAATTCCTTTTGAAAGCTGTAATTTGAGGTTTGGAGGGAGAAAGTTGTTAGTTCATGTGATACACAAATATATTAACATTGTCCAATGGTTTCTTTTAATTATGCAGCCTCATGCAAGTGAATTGAAATACTCCACAAAAACCTAGGTACGTTCTAGCTGTTACCTCTGGCAATTAAACTGTGGCCTCAAAGAATGAAACTGGATTTTGGGAAAAAAAGTCCTTAATGCTTTGCTGGCTAGTATCAGCTGTTTCCATGTTTTATCTGTCTTTAATCATCCCATATTAGTATGTCCTCAGTTCTTTTAGGATTAATTAGTGGAATTATCTTGACCTGTGTTTGTCAATAGTAACTTCCTCTAGAAACCTAAACATTGAGCAGAATGGTTTAAAGGATGTTCATAGAAATAAAAAGATCTGTTGGAACCAAGAGAGTAAGGGTATCAGTGTCCTCTGGCACCAGCTGACTGCACTTGTGCCATTTCAAATGCAAAGTTTCTCTTTCCAGACGAAGGCTGGACCTCCAAATACCAAAGGTCCAGAAAGGAGTAGCTTAAACCACTAAACGAATAGTGGTAGGAGGCCTTGTTTGCATTAGAGAATTGACCAGTACAGCTAAACTCCAAATGAAATAAGCTTTACTAGTAAGAGATGTGTATTCCTTGTGTAGTAAGGGTATTCCTTGAGAGGCACTACCTCTCAAGAGGTGGGAATCTGCACCACCTTAGTATGGAATATTGGCAGCAGAAATTCCATAGCACCTTAGCAGGACAGGAACCTTTCAGTTATTCATCAGAAGGTAGTGCATGTAGTATTCTTCCCCTAAACAACGCAATTCTTAAAAGGGTAAGATTGTGCGTAAGGTTAGACTGTCTCTTGAGCAGGAAACACTCCATATCTTGCAGTATGTGCCACCTCACAGACTTCAGAAGTTTGTTCCGCTCTTGTGCTGCTTATGCTATTGTACAGCTGGTGGGTCAAAGTAAAGTATGTGGCAAGTGTAACATAGGACACAGGGACACTGAGAAAGAGGACTGACAGACACCATGATGGAACATTAGCTCTTGAAGGAGCGCTGCACTTACAAGGGCTACCATAAATGTATCAACAGGGGATTGTGCAGGAGTTAGAGGCACACAGAGACTTTATTTCTATAAAGATTTCTAAAGGAACCACTGCCAAATGTTTTCCATTTTGATGTTCATTGTTTGAAAAGAAAGTTAATGAAAGTTCTGGAAAGAGTTCAGAAGAGAGCTGTGAGAAATTGTTTTGAGGCTTAGAATAAGAAACCAATCTATTTAAATCTCAGCCAAAATGTAATTTGACCCTACTCACTACACTAAAAATACACAGTGAAAGTATTTTGTATAATAGATAAAAAGGATCTAATATAATAGGTTACAGTAAGATCCATTGAACTGAAGCTAAAGATCATCAAATTCAGTCTAGGATTAAGCCACTACATATGAACAAAGAGCACTAACTTTTGGAACAACTACTTGTAGTCTGGTAGCGATATTCTATCACATGAAACCTTTAAAGCCAAATTTATGCATGTTTTTCAAAGATATTCCCAAGCTCAAAACAGAAGTTCCATAGTGCATGGTGCAGAAACTGCTGAGCAAAGTTCTTTGATCTGTGCTATGCAGGAGGTCAGTCTAGATGATCATAGTATTTTCTTCTGTCTTTAATCTATTGAAGTGCATTATGACAAGCTTAACATGTATTTACATGTTTCCATCTAATTAACAGAATGCAAGAGAGTACATTTATAGAAAGACAATTCAAATATTTTTAGATACTACTGTACCTTTAATTTATTAGCTTTTGTTAAAAGCATGTAACAATCTAGAGGATATAAAGTATAATTTACAAAAATATAAATCTTGGTTATTTTATTTTTAGTATTTCAACATATTACTATATTGTATGTGTTACTCAGATAATATGTTTAACAACCTGAAATTCTCCAGCAAAACAAAAATGTGGGATATTACATGTCTTATGTAGAACGAATCATATATTAGGGAAGGATAACCAAAAATGGCTATGTTAACATACGGTTTATATAAAAAATTATGAACTATACTTGCATTCTGAAGAAAATATACATTTTAAGCCCTTTATTACAGCATTTTTCAGTATAAATATGCAGAGAGAGAGTATGAGTGTTTTAGGCAAAAAGTTTTGATTTTTGTACAAAAGTGATATTCTAAAAGAAGCCTGCCTCTCCAAGTTCACTTCCCATCTTCTTGGTTAACTGAAGAGATAAAATAGTCAGAAAATAGCATATAGAAACATATTTTAGTCCTTTAATTATGGAAAACTTTACACTTAAATTTCTCACTAAACACCAGGTATCTTGGCTAGGTGGGTTAGGAAGACATCTGTAAAAGCACTGAGTTCCTGGAAGATAAATATGAAGGACAAATGATGGCAGTGTGACATATCCTTCCAGGTGAGCACATGTATCATTTTAGTCCCTCCGCATGCTTTCTGTAGAGGAATTGTAGACTTGCATTTGTTCATCAACACAAGTGGATTCATTTCTCATTTACAACTTCCCAGTACAGTCAGGCAGGATGTGTGGGTCTCACTAAAGGTGTGTTTGTATGAACTTTATCGGCAGGCACAAGTTTCAACTGACATGTTGGGATATACCTTTAAAACAACATTTTTGTTCTCATCTAAGAACAGGACACTGAGTGAGCTCATTTTGTCAGGAACGCAGCAGGGTTCTGGGATGCCAGGAATGATTCCTACTGCTTTTACGATGCTCTGAATTGTAGCATGATTTGATGGCCGGACAATCTGGAACAGAGAAGGAAATAGTTATAGCTTCATTTATGAGCAGTGGCTTCCTCAGGTGGACTTGGAAAATTACGACAATTATGGCTTTTTGTTTCTCAATACAGCAAATACATGTGATTGATGCAGCACAGT